CGGGTCCGGGCTGGGGATTCGAACCCGCCACCTTAGGTGTACATGGCTGGCGCCTTAGCCGGTTGAGCTATAGGCGCCGAGCCTAACATAAATCTTAAAGTTCTGGTCTCTGCAAAAAAGAAATAAAAGAAATAATATCATTGTAGACAATGTGGTAATACAGCTAAAAACATTCAAGAGAATCAACATAAAAACTCAGAACTCATGAAAGAGTTCAGAGAATGGCTGGTTGATAGATCCAGACAGAAAATAAAAAACTCAGAAAGAAAATATTTTAAACTATAGCATAAAAATACTAGTTAGAAAATGATGAAATTGCTAAAAATTATGAAGGAAGTAAATTGAGAAGTATACCATGGCCTTGAATGAGAAAATTATATAAGTTGATTCTTGCCAGAAATAAAAACATAGGTTTGGTATGTTTCCAACTAGAATCTCAATAAAAATTTTTGATACTTTTTATTTTTCTAAGGAAAAAAAACCCAAAATGGCTAATATTTTATAAACAAGTAATAAAGATGGATTTTTTCACATATTAAAATCTATAAAATATCAACTCTTCAGTGTTCCCAGTTAAAAATACAAGACAGCAAATGCTCAGAGTTTAGAAAATAAATTCAATACAGCTGTAGCAAGTGGACAAGCCAATTTTTGCTATTCGATAAAAGGTGCCAGGATCTGGACAGCAGTTTGGGAAAACAATTTAGCCCAAATCTTCACCCAGCACCATATTCTTTTAAAATATACTTTTATAACAATTTTAGATCCACAGGATGATAGTAGAGAGAGCACTGAGTTCTAGATAGGCCCCAATAGCACAGTGGTTAAGGTGCCACCCACATGCACCGAGGCTGGTGGGTTCAAATCCAGCCCAGGCCAGCTATACAAGTACTAGAGTACCCCACACCCAGTATTCTCTACCAGACCATTATTAATCATTTTCTAATTAAAAAACACTTAAAGAGTGGCACCCAGAGCACAGTGGATTAGGGCGCCGGTCACATACGCTGAGGCTGGTGGGTTCAAACCTCAACCCAGGCCAGCTAAAACAACAATGACAACTGTAACAACAACAAAAAAATTGCTGGGTTTGTCTCGGCCCCCATAGCACAGTGGTTAAGGTACCACCCACATACACCGAGGCTGGCAGGGTTGAACCCAGCCCAGGTCAGCTAAACAATGACAACTGCAACAAAAAATACCTGGGCATTGTGGCGGGCACCTGTAGTCTCAGCTACTTGGGAGGCTGAGGCAAGAGAATCGCTTAAGCCCAAGAGTTAGAGGTTGCTGTGAGCTGTGACACCACAGCACTCTACTCAGGGCAACAGCTGGAGACTGTCTCCAAAAATATGTATAAATAAAATACATAAATAAATAAATCACACTTAAAGGAATGATTATGGAAGAACTTTTTGGAGAAATTTAAATTATCACAAACAAATCAAATAACTTTTCAAACTTCTCCTCACCCCGGAGGTGGTGTAGCTGCAGCAGGCCTGCAGGCGTGGGCTGGGCATAGACCTGGGGCTGTGAAGCAGTTCTCCTTGCTACACATACAGTGTCTCAGACCCAGGCAGTGATCACAGGTCTCAGAAAGGGGCTGCAAAGGCCAGTGCCTGCCTCCGTGCACCTGTGTAGGCTCCGTCACTGTGAATGGGCAACATGGCCCAGGTCTGGTGCTATTCGTGTTTTATAGAGATTAGCGGACAGGCTGTATCCAGCTGGGATGAACTAATTCCAAATGCACTGGACCCTGAGGACCCAGGAGAGCCTGGTAAAGAGCATGTGCCCCCTGACTGAGCTCAGCTGTCCCCCGAACCCCCATGACAGGCCCTGTGCTAACCTCTAGAGATTAGAGGTTTATGGGACACATCTTTAGCACCATAGAACACCCACTCTTGGGAGACATCAAGGTTTAAGACAAAAATCAGTGTAAGTCCGAAGGTTAAAGGCATCACAAGAAAATTGTAATGCAATGTCCCTGATCAATATAGGTATGAAAATCAGAAATAAAATACTAGCAAACCAAATCCAGCAACATATAAAAAGGATTATACACCAGCATCAAGTAGTCTTTATATCAGGAATAAAAGATTTGCTTAAGGCTCGGTGCCTGTGGCTCAGGCGGCTAAGGTGCCAGCCACATACACCTGAGCTGGTGGGTTGGAATCCAGCCGGGGCCCACCAAACAACAAAGATGGCTGCAACCAAAAAATGGCTGGGCATTGTGGTGGGCGCCTGTGGTCCCAGCTATTTGGGAGGCGGAGGCAGGAGACTCTCTTGAGCCCAAGAGCTAGAGGTTGCTGTAAGCTGTGATGCCACGGCACTCTATCCAGGGGGACAGCTTGAGGCTCTGTCTCAAAAAAAAAAAAAAGATTTGCTTAACATATGAGAGTAAATATACCATATTAATAGAATGAAAGGGAGCCAGGTGCAGTGGCTCACACCTGTAATCCCAGTGACTCAGAAAGCTGAGGTGGGAGGACTGCTTGAGGCCAGGGGTTTGAGGCTACAGTGAGCCTATGATCATGTCACTGCACTCCAGCCTGGGCAACGGAGACTTGACTCCATCTCAAACACATAGATAGAGAATAAAGGACAAAATCTGCAGGATCATCTCAAAAGACATAGAACAAGCATTTGAAAAAAAGTCAACACTTTTTCATAATAAAAATCTTCATAAACTAGGAATAGAGGGAACACCTCCTCAATCTGATAAAGAACATCTGTAAAAAACTGACTATTAGGCTCGACGCCTGTGGCTCAAGCAGCTAAGGCACCAGCCACATACACCTGAGCTGGTGGGTCTGAATCCAGCATGGCTGGCTAAACAACAATGACGGCTGCAACCAAAAAATAGCTGGGTGTTGTGGCAGGCACCTGTAGTCCCAGCTACTTGGGAGGCTGAGGCAGGAGAATCGCTTGAGCCCGAGTTGGAGGTTGCTATGAGCTGCGATGCCATGGCACTCTACCCAAGGCGACAGCTTGAGGCTGTTTTTAAAAAGAGAGAGAGAAAAAAACTGACCGTTAACATACTTAATAGTGAAATGCTGAATGCTTTCTTTCCTCCTTAAATAAGGTGACCAGATTTTAACATTGGTAAAGCGGGACACCATGGGGGGGGGGCGAGGCCTGACAACAATGCAAACTTTGATAAGCAGTTCTCGATAGTCAGTTCTCAACAATTATTTGTTATTATTAAAGGTTAACATTATAAAATTAACAAAAATAATATAAAACGCATATCCTGGCGAAATAGTCAGATGGCAGCCGAAAACCGTATATCCCCTTCCTGTTCTCCCGTGTTCCCTAGCTTTTCGTGCATTCTTTCCAAAAATCACAGGACGCAGGACAAATTGTTAAAAATTGGGACTGTCCCACCAAAAGCGGGATGTCTGGTCACCTTACTCTAGAGGTAGGGGGGCTACTTGTTTGTTCCAGACAGTTTGGCT